GATATTTGTAGTTCATTCCTTACCTGTGCTGCTTAAAGAATCTCTTTCTCCCAATAGCTGGTGTATTTTGCTGTATTTTGCACCTTTATGAAGGATATATTATAGTCCAGTAGGTGGCAGGAATGATTTGGTTTTATGTTGTGTGGTAAGCACAGACAATTGTTAATAAATGAATATTCTTTTAAAGTCATACTTATTTTTACTGCTGATAGTGTGTGTTGTGGTTAAATATAACTGAACAGTACAATATCCTGTTATATGCAGTGAGCTTTACTTATGTGATTTTCTGAGTGCAGGATGTGTAGAGTTGTAAATTCATTCAAATTTCATAGGTTTATCTATCTATCAGTGGAGATCAGATATGTTCCTTATGTTGCAGTAAGGGGGAGTGGAAGGCATTGCGGTAATGTTACTGGACTAGTAATCCAGAAGCTCAAGTTAATGTTATGGGGAAATAAATTCAAATACCACCATGGTAGCTGGAGGACTCTGAATTCAGTTGTTAAATCTGGAATTGAAAGTTAGTCTCGATAATAGTCACCATGACAACAACCATGTTTTATTGTAAAACCCCAACTGGTTCACTGATGTCCTTTAGGGAAGGACATTTGCCAGCCTTATGAAGTCTGGCTAACATGTGATTGAGACCCATGGCATTGTGGTTAACGACCCTATAAAGTGAGGGAAGACTAATAAATTCTGGTCTTGCCTGTGACACCCAGATCCCATGAAAGAATAAAAGAAAAAGTTATTTCATGGTATATGAATGGAAGGACAGAATAAAATTTTAGCATTCTAGTAATTTGCCACACCTCCTGGGAATTCACCAAGTCACTCCTTGACCCTGTCTTCACTCCTGCATTGTCCACTCTGAGTCTGAGGCTTGAACACATTTGCTGCATTCTCCTGATAGCCAAACAACTCGTATTTATATCATTGTAGTGTCTTTGATGTCATAAAATCTCCCAAGGAGCATGGCAGGCGTGATTATCAGACAAAATTTGACACTGAGCCCCTCAAGGCAATAATGAGGCGTAAGCTTGGTTGAAGAAAGCAGTTTTAAGTAACATCTTAAGAGAGGGGAAGTTGCAATGCAGGGAACTTGAGATAACACGTGGCGATTACTTCACAGGAAGTGCAACCTCGGATTTGAAAATTCATAGCTTCTCTAATCGTGCAAACTCCTCCTCACCCCCCACGTAAGAAGAGAGGAGGCGCAATAAACTATGCAATAGGTAATCAGTAGAGACCACTGAGTCACATAATGTAAAGTTTAAAAGATACACAAATACATTTTTGGAAAGAGAGGGAGAGGATTAAGTGATAACAGAACAACACATTATCAGAAAAACGACTAACCAAATTTAAACAGTTTCGCTGAACTTGCTCGTGCTATGGTTTTGCAATCTCAGTTTTGTTAAAATAATGATTATATTTTAATTTATATATGATGGAAGTCAGTTAGTTCAGTGGGCTGGTTTGCAATACAGAGTGACACCAAAAATGTGGGCTCAACTCCCATGCCGGCTAAGTTACCCAAGAAGGACTGTCCTTTTCAATCTTCCCCTCACCTGAAGCATGGTGACCCTCAGGTTAAACCACCACCAGCCCCCTCTCTGTAAGAAGCAAGCAGCACAATGGTCTGGTTGGACTATAGTGACATTAGAAGTGCCTCTGGCAAGATCAGCATGTATTGCCCATCCCACATTGCCCCACAAGGCAAGTGTGGGCTGCATTCTTGAACTTGAGTTTTTTGGTGACGGTGCAAACTCAGTGCTATCAGGGAGGAAGCATGAGGGTTCGTGATGAAGAAGTGTCCAAGATGCATTGAAATCAGGATGGCCTCTGTGGCCCGCAAAGGAAGGTGGTGGTGTTACCATGTACCTGCAGACCTTAACGTTCCAGCTGGTTGAGGTTTTGCGCTTGGAAGGTGCTGTCAAAGCAGCAATGACACCTTGTAACTTGTTTCCTCGAGTATTTGTATTAAGTTAAATATTTTGAAACTTGTAACAGTCATTGAATTGGTGTACATGCGCTCCCGAGGAACCACATTGGAGGTATCATTTTAATTTGTGGTACACCACAGCAGGTTTCTTGTAAATGTGGAGTGCAGAACAATGCAAGATCTTGACAATTATATTTCGGAGACCTGTCTGAAACGCTTCACTGCTAAGGACTTTTGTACTTTGTTACCACCCTTGATATTGTTGTCACATACAAGCATATTTACTCTAATGTTGTTCACAGTGAGTTGAAATAACTTGCTTTTTCAAGACAGCTTTAAAATAGTTAAATGTTTCTACATGTTTCACGGGAGCGTGGGAGTCTAGAACCAGGTGGCACTAGTAAAAATAATGGAGATACCACTTAGGATAGAGATGAGCAGAAATTTTCATACTCATAGGGTTGTTATCTTTGGAATTCTGTTCCCAAAAGGGCTATGGAAACCCAGTCTTTGAATATTTTTAAAATAAATGTTGATAGATTTCTGATTACCAATGGCATAAATGATTAAGAGGCTAATGTAGATTAAAAACATTGAAGTGTTCAATCAGCCATGGTCAAATTAAACGAGGGGTCTCAATGGACAGAATGGCTACTCCTGTTCCGATGTTCTTTTGCATTGTGAGATTAATTATCAGGAGATTAAGTGCTTGGACAAAGAGGTTGATTTTAAGGAGCAAACTGAAGTAGAGGAATTTACAGAGAGAATTTCAGAGCTTGAAGCCTAGGCAGCTAAAAGTATGGTTGCCAGTGGTGAAGCAATTTATAACAGAGATGCAGAAGAGGCCATAGTTGGAGAACTCCGAGGTTGTAGTGTTGCAAGAGCTTCCAGAGATGGGAAGAGGTGGGGCCTGGAGATAGGAACTTGTGTGAAGAAGTGCTTCCTGGCATCATCACTGACTGCCTTGCCTCTAAATGTAGCTTGTGTTCTCTTGTTCTGGTCTTCTGCCAGCAGAGGAAGTATCCACTCTCTACCACTCCATCAAATCTTTTATTTGTAAACATCTCAATTGGATTAGTCATTCTGTACTCGGAGTGCACACTATGATGTCTGCCCTCATAATTTAACTTGATAGCTTCTTAGTGAAGTCATAGAGATCTACAAATAGAAAAGAAGCTCTTTGGCCCATTACATCCATGGCACATTGCATAGCTAATCACAAAATTCAGCTTAAATTGCCCTGCTTTTGCTGGCGCTGATAATAGCTATTACAATTGTTGAATTGCATTGCTTCAGATTTAAATTATTCCTGGAGATTTAAATACATGACTTTTTTTATTTTTTCCTCTTCTCTCCTGTAATCATGTTTACACCTCTTTGCTTTTACTTTCTGTACCTAATTTTGCACTACCACCACAAAAATATGAAAATTGAATTGAATTAGCTTTATTGTCAGATGCAGTCAAATGAGTAGTGAAAAGTTTATAAGTCACCACTTACAGTGCCATCTTAGGTACAAAGGTACCTAGGTTTTTTTTATTCATTCAAGGGATGAGGGCGTCGCAGGCTAGGCAGCATTTATTGCCCATCCCTAATTGCCCAGAGGGCAGTTAAGAGTCAACCACATTGCTGTGGGTCTGGACCAGACCAGGTAAGGATGGCAGTTTTCTTCCCTAAAGGGCATTAGTGAACCAGATGGGTTTTTCCAACAATCGGCAATGGATTCATGGTTATCATTAGATTCTTAATTCCAGACTTTATTGAAATAAAATTCCACCATCTGCAGTGGCGGGATTCGAACCTGGGTCCGCAGAATGTTATATGGGTCTCTGAATTGACAGTCCAACGCTAATACCACTAGGCCATTGCCTCCCCACAATCCATAGTTACAGAATGGAGAAATGAAGAAAAAAAAGTTACATTAGCTATACACAGTATGACCATAGGTCAGAAAAAAAATCAAGAAGCAAAGTTAAAAAGTCAAACATCATATGTGTATATGCATAGTGTATGCATGTGCATTGTGTGTGTGTGTGTACTTCTCGGTGCCATAAATGTTCCAGGAGGCTTTGTAAGTAAAACTCGGCACAAAGCCTAATAAAGAGACATTAAGGCAGATGATCCAAAGTTTGACCAAAGAAATAGGTTTTAATGACCCTCTTAAAGGAGAATTAAGAAGAGAAGTAGAGAAATTTAGGGAGGGAATTTCAGTTCTATGAGCTCAA